AAAAAAAAGAAATCATATAAATCTTTATGAAATATATATATGTATACATGTGTGCATGTGTGTTGTTTCTTGACCTCTCCTCCGTGCCCAGTTTATGCCCCGAGTTCAACCAAGGCAGCTGGTTCCTGAGGGTGCTGAGTTCAGCTTCAGTGACTCCACTTTGCACATGGAGACTAGACAAGACAGGAGCGCTGCAGGGGCTATGAGACAAGGGACACTGCCACCAGCAGGCACCTGCCAAGTCTGCCTACCCTGCACAGTAAGGTGCTTCTCCCTGGGGGCGGGAATCCCAGGCGGGGTGGACTGGGGTGGAAGCCAAGGAGCTGAAAGATCTGGGGTGGAGAGGGGAGGCACCAACCCTGTCAACCTGGAGGAACCTGTAGGCTGAAGGTGTGGCAGCAGGAGGCCCAAAGCCCAGGCTCCCGGCACTCCGGATACACAGAGGCTGTCAGTGCAGGAGAGTGAGCTGAGCAAGGCAGAGAGACCAGCAATTCTTCTCCAAGCCCCAAAGTGAGCCAACATTGCCCACAACTCCCCTGTCAAGTGTCAGCTTCAGGGAACAAAGGTAGCTAGTCTCCGATCACCACGGTCTGAAACACAGCCTCTGCCCCTGGAGGATCTGGCTGCTGAGGAAACAGGATGACTATCTAAATACAGCTGGAATGGGTTTGAGTAAACATTCATTTTCTCTCCTGCTTGGGGAGATGTGAGCATTGTAAGATGAGGACGCAGGTATGGTAGGATGTGGGGCAAAGGTACTGTCAACTAGAACATGATTTGCATGTGTTTACAACACTTGCCCTATACAGTTCCACAAACCGGAATTGCACACACCCTTGGGAGAATCAAGATCCTTAACATACACACATTGTATAGTAAGGAAGCATCCTGAGTCGACAAAAGGAGTAAGACAGTACCTGGAGGAGGGGGAAATCATAGGTCCTTCTGAAACAATGAAAATGTAACTATACTGGGGAAAAAAACATTTAAGTAAGAAGATTATACACACTATATATTCTTCGTAGAAACAGGACATTCCATATGATTTTAGTGGGCCAAGGAGCTACAGGTGCCACAAAATAACCAGGGAAACTTCCCTCCAAGCTCTTTGGGAACCTGGCAGTTTGGGGGTTTTTTTCTCCCTGCAGTTTGCTTTCAGGGGGCAAGCTTCTAGAGGGAGTGACGTCTCAGAGGAAAATGGTCACCCACTGGAAAAACACATGGCATGGCTGCAAAACGCCTCTCGATGTTGGGCCATCTTCAACCCCCCTGAGCCACGGGCCATCCTGTTGGGCCGAGTTCGCTTTCTAATCAAACATCCCGGCAGCGAAAGAACTGCAATCACTCAGATTGTTTCCAAACCTGCCACGCCAAACCAAAATCCAAACTCACTGCGCTCCAG